TTCTCCTGTTGTGCCCACCCTTATTCTCCTCTGGGCTCTTTTGATCCTTTTTTGTATCTTCTTTCCTCTGTTGCTTTCCTTCTCCCCATTTTCATATGTCTCTTGCGGCTCAGAGCCAGGGGAGAGTTGAGTCATGTGAATGAAGAGCTTTTGCCATGTTAGACAAACACACCCCTCCTGTCAGGATCAACCTTTGAAGCTCTGTATTAGTAGAGGCCCATTACAGCAGGATGAGGTGTTGTGAGCCTCTACAATTGCAATTAAAACTTAATTCTGCCAGCAGTTGCAGGCAGGGTGCTTAGAACCACCTTAAGATTACTTTTTAATGAGAAACACATTGGCCACTCAGTATGTGGTTGATTGTTGTATGAGGTTGGCTTAAAACGTGTGACACGCCCTGGAGCAAAGCAAGGGAACATTTGGAAGTTACTCAGAAATCTTGTGCAGTAATATTGTCAATTGCCCCTGCATTGAAGATACTTCCGTGCTTTGTTTTGCGCCTTCTGAAAAGTCTCCCGAGCGGCACCAGCTGAAGAACCTTTCTAACTGCCAGTCTGTTTTTGCCTGGAACCCAAGCACTGGTACCTGGTTTTCTCAGTGGAGCGAAGTTTCCACTCTCCAATCTCCACTCTTCCCTCCAGGAAGAATGTGTGTCCGGAGCCGGCTGTGTCTTTAACTACCGCCTTTCTTTTTGCACAGCAAAGAAATGTTGACATCTTCAAGTCTCTCAGATGCTTGCGGCTACTTTAATGTGGATTCCTGAAGGTTTTCAGTGGCAAACTCTTGTCGTAATACAAAGTGTTGGTGCTGAACAGATCATTTGTGTACTGTCCAACTTTGCAGAGGTGTGCAATTTAAACCTTATAACTTTCAAAATGCAGACAGCTTCAGGTGTACATCTCCATGGTGTTAAATAAGATTTTCATGGGAAGATAAGACAAGATTAAAGTCTCGTGGGGCAATTCCAGAAACTGAAACAATGTTAATTACTGTGACACATTTGTTAAAAAATTTGTGTTTGCGTTTGGTTGCTAACTCTGTATGTTCTTTTAGTGTTGTGACACCCGTCATTACTCATAGAGGGCTGTGGGTTCTGTGGTAAAACTAAAAGGCAGACTATTAGGTCATACGTCCTTAAATGTTAATAATCAAAGCTTGTGTGCACATTGCTTGGACCTTGGCCAATTATGGACCTGGATAAAGCTATTCAAGCTTTATTTTGGCTATTACTGACTTGGAGAAAAAGCCCCAGAAATTTAAAACAGTCAAGATCCCCTTCTTTTCCCATGCAAACCCTTAGTTTGTGAGTAGGGTGGCAAGAGCCTCTGAGGCGGCTTTCTGTCTGGCCCTTGTCTTGGAGTGAATCAGTGAGTTGACAATCAGTATGTGCTCCTTACAGATCTGTGCGACAGGTATTCTTTTCCCATAACAAGCCTGCTTCCCATTGATTTACCCATGCAGGTGACAACATCACTGGGCTGTGAGTAACAATGGCATAATGAAATTTTGGATTTTCTTCTTCTTCTGCTTTAGTTGACTCACCTTTGTCCAAATGTTTGAGACTGTAAGGACGCCATTGATGCTGTTAAACTACAACGAGTCATTTGTAGTAGTTGTAAGTTGTAGTTGCCAGGGGGTTCATTGAAAAGTATACAGTAGATCAATATGAAAATAATGCTGTAACACCTTAACACTACGTGTTGCAAACGGTGCAAAAGTAATGCATGCATGGTTGAAGTATTTCACAAAAGGTATTAGATAAATGGTTGGGATAGTTATCTAAAAGTTACAGATAAATAGTTTAAATTACTAAATGTGTTGGTTAAGTAGTTGAAATACTGTAGTTAGCTAAAAAGTTGAAAAACAGCTGAAATAGTTGGATGGGTAAATGGTTGAAATTTCACTCCAAGTGGTAATAGTACAACTGCAAACTTAACCAAACAGAAGTGGGGTGTAGTGATAGATAAAAAGGGCAAAAAGATTCTCTTCACACATTTTGAATTGTCTTTGAAGTGTCTTGGCTGTCTCAACTTCTGCTTTTGTGGTATATTGCATTTGTTAGTAGGTCTAGAACAGCGATTATGTAATCAAAAGTAACAGCCTATAATCACTAGAGAAGTAAATATTTAAAAACGGGACCATCTTGGCTTACTTTAAAGAGGAAGGTCTAGCTGTTGTTGAACCCATTTAAAGTGTTCTCACTGCCCTTACCCATCCTGTCTCTTAAAGTTTTGGGCCTTTGCCAGGCTTATGAGTAACATTTCCTGATAAATTGAGCATTTACGAAGGAGGAAAAAGGGCACGGTCAGGAAGTGACACAGTTGGCCTTTGTTGAGACAGATCTTCCTCTCGTAGCCAGGAACAGCTCCCGATGGGCAACAAAAGGTCAGAGAACACTCTAGTCATTGGAAACAGAGGACTCAGTTTGTTTACATGCCCTAGAGGAGCAGAAATAATATTGCCCATCTGAATTAACAGGTAGGACTGGTATAACTGCATACTGAGCAAGACAGATGTGCTGCCGTCAGTGAAACAAAAGCCATGTGTGTTTTTTGATGTTTTTCTTACACGCTGTCCATCAACAAACCGTCAATCGTGATAGCTGCCTTTTGGACAGTCGGACAGACAGGCTCACTTTAATCTAATACAGATAACTTATCATTATATAGTGAATCACAATAGATCTTATTCAGAGCCTGCTTGGTCCTTCACATTTCTGCTTACTCCCGCAGAAATAACCATAAATAGTTAAACACACCTTTGGGAGTTTTGGCAGTATAAAACTCCTACCAAAACACGTATCTGAGGGTGAGTTCACATTTGCTGATAGGGCTGATGATTTTTAAAGTATGACTCAACTGGGTTTTCAGTCCCCCTTGTTGCTTAAAATAACACAAGCAGCTTCCAAACAAAGCAGCCTCGATGTTCTGGGCCTCCATGGACAAGCTTTAGCGTACCGTTTAGCACTCCTTTTATAGGTAGTGACCTAGGTGAATTATGTAAGTGGGTGCCTATTCCTGAAATCAACATCCAAACGCAGGATTGTTTTTGCCTTCATAAGGTAATTTGCAGGCTCTGGAGTGACATTCAGTTTTAACCCCGAAACACGTCAAGCTAAAGATACCTGCGTTAGTTTGTCATGAGGATGACACGTCATGGAGCATCACTGCTGCCTCAAATTTACATATGTTTTGACATTTTTACAATAAATAAAGTTATTATATTTCATGACTTCACTATCAAAACAAACCTTATCTTGAAATGCTAAACGTTTTAACCCTAGAGCAGAAATGTAATACAACTCCAGTAACATCTTTTTCTTATTTAGCTGTGGAGACCTTGAAGGCTTGAGGCTGGGTAGTAGTGGATTTACCGCTACCAAGTGATTATGCCTGAGTAATAAACCATTTGGTTTTCATATTAGGCAGTAAATTCCATTTAAAAAGCTTTAGGCTCATCTGATCCTGGTTACATTCGTAGAATGTGTTCTAGTTTCTGTTCTGGCTATGTTAAATTGGCTATGGGTATTTGTTGCTGGACTAACTGGAATGGAAGCCATTGGTGCCGATCTGTTAATTTAACAAACAGATGATGATTTTTTTTTTCTGCTCAGCGGAGAGCATACATTTCCCAGAGTGAAGGTGTCTTGGAAATCTCTGGGAGCAGACAACATGTAATCGTCCAGCAGAGTTACAGTTTACGGTCAGACTAAATTTGAATGTACACAAGGGAGGCACTGTTTAGCCAAGCACTGTTATGTTAGGTGGAGGAAAGATCAGAGAGGTCAAGGTGAAGACTGACACACACACAGACACATATCCCCACCATATACATTGATTTCCTGTGTAATATTTGAAGGGCATATTCTTTCAAGAGTCCTGATTTGGACTCGGTTTTATAGCTCAGCAGGTGGCCAGGGGTCAGAGGGGGGGGCACTTGAGATTTGTTCAAGCTTCTCCTCATTACAGAAAAGCCTCTTGGAGTCATTCCACCTTATGACCAGACCTGCCTCTCTTTTCCCTCTTGCCTTGACCCATCCTTCTCTTTCCCTCTTTCTTCTCAACACTCTCATTACTAACATTGTCCAGACCCAACACTTCTCATTTATATTTTCCTATACCCCTGTTCCTGGCCATAATGTGAGAGCCAATATGCTGAATTAACTCATGCCCCGTAATATGAGGGACACCAGGGGGCTACTTTAAACCCCAGCCCCTCTCTAATAAATATAGCTCATTTTATTCACCTCTTTCTCGTCTGCTTGGCTGTCCTCGGTCAGACTCCCGAAAGCATCGTAAGCGTGCTTGTGCTTTAAAAAATGTCTGTGGAAAAGCCCCTTGCGCTTGGTGTGGAGCGATCAGAAGCTGCGCACACATAATTTTTCTTGCTGTTGTCAGCTGGCGATGCATTTAAAGTGAGTGCGGTTTTCAAACCTCTGCATCCGAGCCATGTGTGGTTTTCTCCACTGTGAATTCCTAATGGAACAAAATGAGCTCAACCCAGCCTCCTAATTTTTTACCCCCTAAAAGTCCAAATGTATTAAGTTCAGTACTTTTTTATTGTGCTAGATGTGGAAAGGAGATGGTAAACAGATTATGCTTTTCAGGCACATAGGAGGCTGAAGCCTGTCTCAACATGCACTGCTTGAGAGGTTGTATACTGTGCATAGATTGCAAGATTATAACAAGGCTATGTTATGTGTTATTTGATGTATGATTCTCACTTTCTCTCCCTTTCTCCTCCCTCTTACCAACTGGCTCCAAGTGAGTCGATAGAATAGAGGATATATGAGAGTCTCACTGCGGTGGTCGGCTGTCTTTGTGCAGAGCTGGCTGACATCATTCTCACGGGTGGGTAGGGAGGGGGGTGTTAGCTGGGCCAGGGCAGGGCTTGGCTCTGAGCTCTACAGCTGAGTATGAAGTACATCCAGAGTGCCTGTCATCTGAAATTGTACTCTACAATCATGATGCACTAATACTGTCTTCCTTTCTTGTTTGCAGCGCTGGGATGATTTTGATGGAGTGAGACATTGCTGTCAAGGGAGATCTACAAGAAAAGCTGATCTACATTTCCAGGTTAGGACAACTGAAGTACCAACTTGGAATCTCCTCACCTGCACTCGAACCCTGAACTGAATTGAACTGCAAAATGGATGGAATAGACACCTTGCAGAGCTCAGCCCTAGAGACCAAGGCTGAGCGAATTGCTCGCTACAAGGCAGAAAGGAGGAGGGAGCTTGCGGAGCGCTATGGCAACACAGACGAATTCACTTCCAAATATGTCCGTAGGGAAAGGAAGATTGGCGACACATCCGAAACAGTGTCTTCAGAAGCAAAGGAGAAGGAAAAATGTGAGGATAATGGATCAGAGAAAACATATACCAGGAGGGGCCTCAGGAATAAATCCATGGAGCACACTGATGATGAGCCCGCCCAGGAAAAAGAGAGTACCACTCAAGTCAAAACAGACATAGTTTTATCATCTAAATCAGAAGCTGTCTCCTCCACAAAGACACCCTCTCATTCCAGGTGAGTTTATTCACATTGTCACAAGTTAAAAACAAAGCACACTTGTATTGCCCGTTGTTTGTGCAAGGCCAGTCACAATGTTGTTCTCGATGTGACATAAACTTGGCCAGCGACATGAAACACAAAGTTACTCAGGCATGGAGACTAGAAGAAGGCTAGTGCACGTGGAGGCCAGGCTAACATCTCAGATATAGATTGCAGTAAAACCATAATTTATTATTTAGATTTTCTTGTGTGTATCTCAGTTTTGACTCGAGTAACAGTTAAGACAGAGTGCTGAATAGCCATTCAGTCTGTACACACAAGGAAATCTGCAAAAAGTTGGAGCATAATGTTCCGATAACCACTAATTACAATTGAATTAAGTACAGTGGCTTTTATGAGGCACCTTGATTTAAAAGAACATTTGCAGTTTTAGCTAGTAAAAAAGGCTTTTAGATCACTGTAAAAGGGCTTGCTGGCTCCTAATGAGAGAAGAGGAGGCAACAAGTCGGCACATTTAGAGAACACTTAGTGCTGTCTTCCGTTTGAAGTAAACAAGGCATCAAACATTTCCAAACTTGGCCATGTATGCTAAGCAGAGGACTGTCTCATTTATTTTGCCATGGTATGTTTTGCTGTGATGACATGCAAGCTGCTTGCTTTGGTTCACTTTACAGTGATAAGGGGGGTGCTCACATCTTTAACACAATAAGAATGTTGTAATTTATGTAATTTGACAATAATAAACAGGAATTGTAAAATCGACCTGAAAAACTGTTGGAGTTTTGTCATCGGTTTCCAGGAATGTTTTTCCGTGAATTGTACATAGATGGAATAAAACATGACCAGACATGGGGCTGGGGTTGTTTGAGCTGTAATCAAGCTGGGAGATTGTGCTCTGTGCACACAGCCGGACTAGTTTCTTCTTGAAAAAAAGCCTGAGGGAATGACAACAGAGAGAGAGAAGAACTCAGATGGACAGAGTGTGATAATATCAGAAATTGGGACTTGCGGGGAGGTAGGGTTTTCATGCCGTACGCTTAATGAAGCAAGAAATCTACAGAGCTGTGATTGATGGCTTGTTAGATATTACGGACCAATTACAGAGAGCATGAATGTGTGTCACGTCAGCTACTTATCGTGTCCGTTTTGTTATGACGATTGCTGCATCGGACAGTCCAGCTGTGCAGTCTTGTGTGAAGGCACACTTGTGCAACATAGTTAGACAGTGGAGGTTATATAGAAGCTATTGGTATTAGCCAGTAACTTGTCAGAGCTGATGCCCAAATATTAGCAGTTTATTTGTGTATCTCGCTTTCACCCTGAGATCTAGGGGGTAATTGGAGCGGTCTGGGAACCATTTATTTATTCAATAGCCCAACGTGAGAATGTGGAGTGTTTTTTGTCACCCATGCTTTGAAAGCATCCTTACAGATCATTTTGAATTGTGTTTTTATACAATATATCCCAGATTCCTGCATGCGTTTTATGATTTATGAGCTTCACACATATTAACTGAACCTTCGCAGGCAACATGTTTGTGTGTATCTGTTCCAAGAATAGCACAATAACGGAAACTGGAACTCAGCTATTATAGTGATAATGAAAACTGCCTGTCAAAGTGCTTATCTGCCACAGACAAGAGTCCTTCTGAAGTTACAGTTGAAGGATGGCATTCCAAAACACAGTGAGACACAGTAATGTAAGAAAATATAGGTTACAGGTACTGTCAGCTGTACTGTAATCTCATCTTTCTGGTTGCCTGAATATGATTTTAAAGAGAACATTGAACATCAGGTTCCTTGGTTTGGTAGTTAACTGAACCGTAGAAGAAATGTAAGTCAAGTGTTTACAAAAATGTGATTATCTAAAAGCACTGTACGTGCATCACTGATTAGTTTGTATGCCGTGTACAACACTTTGATCTACAAAATGAAGATTTTATGAGTTGGGAAGATTATATATAAATCACTGTACACAGTACTCTTATGAAACTTAAAACAAAACAACAAAAATGCAGTTGATTAATAGATATTTTTCAGATTTATAGTGTGAATGGTATATTGTAGTATTTTGGGTTTGATGTTATGTGTTATTAAGTATGTTTTGTAAACACCAGTAATTGTGCTACTGGCATGTTGGGGTTAGCCAAACACCTCGGATTATAACCAGGACTGAATGGGATTTGGGATAATTGTTGAGTTCCAGTATCTGCCATATTTCCAACAGTTAGGCGCACAAATTAGAGACATTAAAATGAAGTCTTAACAATGTCACAGTCATGATTATATCCCTTCTGTACTCTTACTTCATCCTCTCTGTCCCTGTCTCACTCTCCCACTTAAAGCTTTGTGTTTTTGACATAATTTTATAGAGCAGCAAGACTGAGGAAATGTACTCTTAAGTGTTTGATTAATGACTCGCCTGCCTTGATTTGAATGTGTGTTAAACTTTTCTCTTTTTAACTTCCCCCATTACTCTCTCTGTTGCTCTTCTCGTCCTCTCTCTTTGTTCTGCATTCCACTCTTCTTCTCTGATTAGTTTTTATGGCAGCGTACGCCAGACGCGTGCGGGGCCCCTCCCTTTCAGCTGGCAGTCAGAGTGTGGGTGGGGTTGATGAAGTGCCACTGAGCCTTGTGGTTGCAGAATGAGGGTGTTTGAGCGTTTGAGAACTAGGTGGAATCAGTCACCAAGCTCACCATGGTCTGCAACCAGACTGTCTATTAGCCGAGTGCCGCATACTGTAGTACTTTTACCCATGTGACTGTAGTTAAATGAATTATATGACACTGTGTGATCATGTTCATGTGTATATAATCCACAGCTACAGATTGCTGTGTATTAAATTACTTGAATTATTGTTATCCAATCAATTTCTTATCTTCCATCTCCACTACACCATGTTCACGCCGTAAATACGTTGTCCTGGCATTTTTAGATTCTCTACTATTATCACAAAGCTGTACTGAGGCGTGCCAGGCCAAAACTGACAAAACTGTCCGTGGTAACCAAACCCAAGCCCAAAATTACTCATAATAATATACTGCTGTAAAAATTACTTTTCAACGTTTGGGGAGTCAAACATGTCACTAGTCTAAGGAAAAGTCAGAGATCCGAGTCGGGTCCTATATTTATTTATATTTTATGTTTTATCCTACAAAATACAGCTGCACAGTCTAAAGAGGCCGGGTCCCCCAACACCTTTCCGATGTCTGAATTTGATGGGGAGGGAGGGCTGTGTCTAACAATTTCTATTACTTTCGCACATCGTCATGTGGTTAATTGAAACTTCTTGCCGCTGTTTTATTTTTGCGCACTCCACAGCTGACTTGTTGCCATTGCTGTGCGTTTGCAGTTTTTAATGGAGCACAGTGCTGTGTTTCATGGAACAGATTCAGTGGATGACTTTATTAAGCCGTTACCGATCCCTTTAAAAAATGGCTACATTGTAGCCCGCAGATCGGCTCGGGGCTATCTCCACTTCTTCAGTAACCTCTGACCCCTCCCAGATGTCCACCACGATTCTCTATTATGTTTTAAGCAGTCCTCTCTCCTGCTCCTGTTACATCATCGCCGCTTTTCCACAGGCAGCTGCTGTCCCCATCCATATTTAAGCCCCATTAGTTAGAGATGAATGGGCATCTTCTGAGGCTACACAGGCATTGCTGTTATATCATTGCTAACATGAGGCTGGAGGAGCCTCATGAGTAAACGTTGTAGGATGCACATCATGTGAGGCGCAGTAAGTGGCTTTCTGCAACCCTTCTATTAGTCTGTTTTATATTTCCTTATGTGGCTTGAGTGTACATTTTTGGATTATAGTTGTATAAGTAAGCCTGAATATTCTCATTTTTCTGTCTAGTTTGCAAGCCTCAATTGTAACAGCCTCGTCATTTCTGTCATCACTTCAGTGTGTAAGTGAGTGACCTCATTTGTCTCTCTTTCTCTCCTAGGCTGCTGGAAACTGATGACAGAGATGAGCTAAAGGGTAAGACGAAGTCTCCATTTTCACTGCACTCAGATCCTCTATTGTTCCACAGACTGCTTTATCCCTGAACTCATTCAAGTTGTCTCTGTTACTCAGTGTTAAAGGAATACTGAGCTCATTGCTGATGTCAGATCACCTACCGGGTTTATAGACATTGGCTGTTTGAATACACTGCCACCGACGAGGAGTGAAAGAAAACAGATCTACTGATGTCTTTGGCTGTTTTTGTTCGCTTTATATAATTTAAAGTGAATGTTTTGCCTCAGGCGATGGTTTCCCTCTTCAAAAAAAAATTAATAAGGGAGATAATGTTGGCACGCGTCTGCCGAGTTTTTGTTGTCTGACGAGTTTTGTTGAAAGACTGTGACTTGGTGGGTGTGCGCATACACTGGAAGCTTGTTTCAGCCAGCTAGCATTATGAACTAATGTTAGAGTCCGCTGTTACAGAGAGAAGAAAATGGCCAAATTAACACATGGGCCGCTGGCTGCTTTTCCGACTCACATTCAGCCACCTGAGCCCACACAGTCTGTCTTTCTGTCTGTGAATTTGTCCATCTGTCTGCCCACCGCCTGTTTGTCTGTGTCAGTGGCGTCCTGCCACCACTTGATTTGGTGGTCTTCTGTTGTGCATGCTTAATTGCTGGTCAGTGGTGTGTGTGTGTGTGTGTGTGTGTGTGTGTGTCTGTGTGTGTCTGTGTGTGTGCACATAAGGGGAAGAAAGATAGTGACAGGGAGATGATAAGAGGATCCCAAGCACAAAACAACAGTATTTTAGGATGTATTCAAGCAGTGTTGTGTAACCCGCCTTACTTTCTCAGCAATGTAAACAGAACATTTCTTTACCATCAAAATCAGGAAGTCTGGCAGATAAAACCTAAACAACAAACATTTACATTTAAAATATATTTTTCAGGCAGGCAGGGAGGCACCAGAGCGATACCTGGAGTGAAGCACAGGGTATAAGCTAAAATGGAAGCCATTATGTTTTCTGTCTTCTTTTCCATTCAATCATTGCATTTCACCTAGACCTTCTACATGTAAATGTGCACAGCAAGCATAAATAGTTATGTCCGAGCTGTGCTTACTGATCTGCTGCCTTGGGTAGAACTTTTTTCATTGCCGTTGTACAGGTTCTACCTTCCTTTCAGTGAAATGGGTCTGGTCTGATCTGATCTAATCTACGGCGAGAAATTGAAAAAAACATTACATACATTTTGACATTAGTATAATAATAATAGTGTCCTGTTTGTTTAACAGACCAGAAAGGCCATTGAATTATCACAAAGACTATTGTCTAGACCTACTCTATATGAAAATAGCAGGGAGATAACTTCTATTATGAATTGGCGCCAAATGAATAAAATAATTGAATTAAAGATTTGCTTTGCTTTGACTGATTATCTGTCAGACATCACCAGTGTCAATCTTTGGTTGGACAAGACAAAAGTAAAAATTGTACTAGACAGAACCCAAAGACACAGAAAGAGGAACAAAGGACAGTCAGTGTTCATCTTTCATTGAGAGATGTGTGTGTGAAAGCACATGGCTGATGGGAGCTTCCTGTCCAAGCTGGCAGAGGATTCAGTGCTCTGAGCCTGGACACCTCCCGTGGTCCCATTAAGGGTTTCCCCGACCCTTCAGCTACGCCCCAAGTCAGCAAGAGATACAAACATTCATCTGAATACTGAACATGTGGCATAAGCCTTCTGTTAGATACTTGTTTCCACTGCTGAGTGCGATCAGAGATGCACGGGTAGGCTAGAAATGCACTGGAAAGGCATCCAAAAATGTTAAGTATCCATTTCTCAGGGGTGGTATGTCAATCATGTAATCATTATAACAGGTGACAAGATGCATTACAACGAAGTACGAAGTGTGTACTTAAAGTCAATACATTTTCCTTGTGTTTTGGGGAAGTTAATTCTGCTGTAAACATATTACATGCATAACACCATATTATGTAGATTTAATGAACTCTATTGGCCATTATAAGGTCAAAGGCCCATCCAATAAGCTCTCAGCACATGGATGAAAACACTTAGTCACTAAACTTAAGTGGAGCTTTATCCATCTCTTGAGTTTTTCTTTTTTCTCTCTGTCTCTCTCTTGGACGTTGGATGGATGATGATGAAAAAAAAAATTGGACTGGAGTCAAAACTAGAAGAGTGTAGTCTGAGAGGAGTCACCAGTCTGAAATGTGTAATGTTTCATCATCTGACCTAAATCATGCAAGGTTCTGGACAGCAGGGGAGCATGGAAACACAAATCAAAACTTTGGAGAAGGAGAGTTTGTCGGAGACATTATTTGGATTTGTTTGTTCCTTTGTTTTCTTAGGAGGGGGAACATTGTCAAGGCAATAAAAACTGATTTGGAGTGGGAGAATGAATTTGAGTGTGCTGACTTAAGAAATGTGTTTTGTTTTGGAATTCCATTAAATTTAATGGTTTCCTTTTGTTCGCATTAGAAAATTATATTCTCTGGGCTGTTTTTGATTAGACAGCTCACATGAGCAATTATTCTCTTTCTCTTGTGCGCAAATGCACACATACAGTAATGGTATTCCTTTCTTTAAAAAGTCCATTATCTCACCATTAACTCTCAAAATATATAGGGTGGTCCTACCTTCTGAATCCTCTGGAGCCTATTGACTTTTCCAAATCATTCTGAGTCTAGGGAATCATCTCTACGTGGAGGGGTGAATGTGTTTGTACATTTACCTGTTCAATCTGCTTGTGCGTAGTTCTGACTTTGTGTGCTAGTGTACGGTTGATGTCTGACCTCACCATCTTTCCAGCTGTCAGCAGTGCATTGTGTTGTGGATACCAAACACACGTTGCCCGTCTTAAAGATGACACCCTGACTGATCATATGAAACTATACACTGGCAGGAAGCAATTGCACCGTTTGTGCAAATTGTCTTCTCACTGTTGTATTTATGGTCAACCTTATGTGTATGTGTGTTCTTTTCAGCTGATGAGAAGCCTGGGGACTCAGCTGAGAGGACTTCCAAGATGTCTCTTTTTAAGGTATAATATCCAAGAGGTATCCAAATGTTTTGTGTGTGTGTGTGTGTGTGTTTGCGCGCATGTGTGTGTGTGTGCTTATACGTAATGATAAGTGTCATGGATTACAATTTAATAACAAAAACTACCACTCATTAGGGGTGGGAATCACCAGAGGCCCCACTATACGATATTATCACGATATTTATGTTGAGATTCCATTTTATTGCGATTTTAAATATTTTGAGATATATTGCAATTTATTACCTTTTCCAACTTCCAATTAGGTCCCTAAAGTCAAACTTTGTCAGCATCTGTTTATCTAAAAAGATACATTTCTCTGTTTGTTCATATCACTTTTTCAGTCCTCTGTATAGTCCTGTTAAGTTTTCTAGTGGACTAAAAGAGAAATAGATTTTATTGTTCTAGTACCAAAAAGTTAAAACTCCTATCTGCAATTTATATAATAGAATATCGATACTTGGTGTCCGTGTATCGATACAGTATTGCCATGGCAAATATCACGATACTATGCTGTATCGATTCCCCCCCCCCCCCCCCCCCCCCCCCCCCACCCTACCACTCATGGGAGGTGCGCAGTTGTTTTAGACATGAAACATTGTCTGGTTTGTACAACCAGTTTGTCATCGTACTTATTTTGTTATAAATAAAGTTGTTTTTTAAAAAACAATGTCCCTCCAAATTGTAGAACTGCCTTCTTGTACAACCACAACTTTAATTTTTTATTTCTTCATGTGTTAAATACAAAAGGTGCTTTTGAAAGCTTTGGATTTGAGTGTCGAAGGTAAAGTAACAAGATTATTAATACAATTATTTTACTGTTAAGTAATTAGTAAAGTAATTACTAGTAGTAATGTCATTACTTTACATTACAATGAGTAATAAATTGCAGTTTTCAAATAAACTGCCCAACTGGTTCCATGTTCATATGGGAGGCCCAGTTTTCCTGCACTTTACGGCATTTTACCTGATTGACAGGTGTCTCTGTAAGCAGACATGGAGGATGCCACCTCAGATTTAAATTTCATAGCTCCAAATGACAGCGCACATTAAACCAGATCCTTCCTTCAAAACTTACATTCATAAACTTGCTGTATCTATGTTTTCCTTCAGCTGGTTGCTCGATGGTTAATTCCTTTCATTTCCCTCGGTGATTTACTCCCAGCTCTTTCCAGCGCAGATGGTGTACGCTTCAACCCCCCTTGAAAGTTTGCTCCATTAATAACAAATTGAGCTGTTCCATACAGCACTGAGTTGTCCTGCACCTGGACGCACACTTGGCCAAAGTCATGACTTCACACACAGTCCATGGCGGTCTTAGCAGCGGTGGAAAGACAAGTCTGGAGACCTAAAAGATCCTTTCCGGAATAAAAATTTGACAATGCCCCCAGTCCTGTGGGAGACATACACATGTGCGCTTAAAAACACAGAGATTACTGCGCTTTCCCAGGCTCCTTAAGTTTCAGAAGTGGTTAGGTTTTATAATATTGGATGTAAATAGCTGTTCTAGCTTGGTCTTTACAGACCAGGAGCCGTGCCAAGGTTGGCCAAGTGAACCCAGATGGCAGCAAGTTGCGCCAACCAAAAACCTGCTGGGAAAACAAGCAAGGCTATCACATTCACAATCACACTACTTATTTTCTCTCTTTTTTTTCTGCTCTCTCCGTCCTTTGTTCTGACATAGCTCTCTGTTATTTTAAGATGTCTTAACGTCACTGCTAATGAGTTTTGAAGTCATTAGCAGTGACGGATACCCCTTCTCTGTTTTCCCTTATCACTCCCTTCTCCTCCACAGTCCCTGTTAAAAGCCAGTGAGTCAGTGTCTCCAGCAGGAGACGCAGAGTAGGAGTGAGGTTACAGTATGCTTTCCAGCACGGATGGAGGCAATAAAATGTGTACATGGAGTCTTCTGGAGAATGATACAGCTCATTTATATTTTGAATTTCCTAAATATATGAAAAACTTTTCAGAAGGCAATGCATTCATGACGGGGGGAAAACAAGTTCCTTCTTTATAATCAGTGAGCTTCAGTTGGTCTTTAAGAGGCCTCTAATTCTGTAAGCTTTGTTGTGTCATTTCGTGAAAAAAAGAGCATTTGAGTTCTGTTGCTTGGCTCACAGCTGGAGATCCAGTTATCTTCACCAGGGCCTTGGTAAAGTGTTTACTGACAAAAGGTCTCACACGGCTGCATGGTTCACACTATACGCATGTTTTTAAAAGTGTGATAAACTTTAGACTATGAAAGATGGACAGAGAGAAAACGTGAGCCTCTCTTTTGGGTCCGGATGAACTTGAATTTGTGACAGCAGCAGGTGTTGTTTCACTGTTTCTATTCATCTTTTGTTTAATAATAAGCTCATTGTTTTAGCTGTAAACAGCTAATATTGTGGTGTTGTAAGGTAACAACCCCGCATTGTCAACAGCATGTCTACCCCTCAGGTCTTACAATGGACAACGCAACTTACACAAGTGTGATGTGGTCACTTGATGTGATCACTAGATATTTTTTCATTCATTGTGGATTTTTCAAAAAGGGAGGAGTAAATTTCAAGATTTCTTTAGCCAGTAATTGAGGCTATCAGACACAAATTGTTATTCAGATATTTTTATGTGTCTTATAATGTGTCTGGAGGGGATCTTTAACCTTTAAAAAATATAAAAACAAACCATAATGACTTACTTAAGTGAACTTTACTTTAATGTGGAGAATGCAGTAGCGGCAGTATTCATCTTTCTCTATTTTTTAACTGTATGTACTCAGCAACTCCACTGGAGCATTTGCAAGGGTTAACAGCGTTGCTCAAGTGCAGGGGTGGAGCACGGTTCATTCATTCACTTCCCTTATCAAGACTTTTTTATAGCTGGCGTGGGACTAAAGCAGTATTTGTTCCGAATGTAATCCTAACCTTTAGGCTTGCCTTTTCTCCACCTGTAGGACCACGACATGACGGAGGATGGAAGTGGCCGACGTGCCAACAACAGGGTAAAGGGTCAGCTAATGAGCAGCGACGAAGAGGAAACCTCTGCCAGGTAGGCAGGTTCAAACTGATATATTGTTAAGTGTTGGCAGCATGGTCGCACCATTTTATCAGACTAAGTGCATTAAAGCTTTAAATGGAGTCTTCTTTTTCAACATTGGAGTAATAGATGTTGTGGCCTGCCGTACATTACAAATGCTGTAACTCAAGCAGATAGAACAACGAGATTCACCCTGAAACCAACTGACACAGTCACACACAGGCCGAGCAGACCGAGCAGAGCACAGAGGTGATTACAGACCAATCCAAAGGCTGTCTAATGATGTAAACAGCTGCAGAGATAAACCAGATAAACCTGCAGAGCTTCCACACACTCACTTTCTCTCCCACGTGCACACGCATAAACACCCAAACCCGCCGGGTTATATTGTTACCATGGTGAAGCAGATTGAAGTTTGTAGCTGCAGCAGCGAGGGCCAGACTACACTGTAACCACTGGAGTAATATCAATACGAAATGCCCCCCATGCGCACTGTATGTATGTTGCTTTGTGTTTGTGTGTAAATATGTTAAAGACATGAGTAAGAGTTTGAACTGACAAGTTTCCTCCCAAGTCTGAAGAGATATCAATGTATTATGAACCTTGTTACGTACCTTTTTTTTTAAAGCAAAGTTGCATTGCAATGCATGCAACAAACCAAACACTTCCATATAAATAAATGTCCATTTTGAAGAACTTTCTACAATTCCCATAAAAAAAGATGTTACTAAGGAGCTGCTAAAAGCAAATGTGTCTGAGCGTCACTGGCAGCCAAAGGTTAAAAGCACACCCATTTGATGAGCTGATCATGAGCTTGTGGAACTACTAGGCTTGGCAGGATTCGCCGTTGTCAGTGTTTATTGTTCATTATGCTGGCTCAGTGCCTAGATTGATTATAAAGCACCAAATGTCTGTTTATTGAATTAGTGTTGTAAAAATCAAGGGAAATCAAAATCTCCAAATCTTCTGCAGTTGTGTAGGACACAAAAGCTTTAACCAGGCCGATTTAGTAACATTCAGTTCAGTATCTTCTACTGTATTCTTAGTACATTTAGCATAACCTAATAAATACAAATGGTAACTGAATATATCCCCAACCATCGATAACAGAAGGAAGATTTTGTCGTAGCACAGCAGACTAATGATTGTTACATTTCTTAGTTTGTGGTCAGCTATTTCCTGCAATTCCATTATATGATGAATGTATTGTTTTTACATCAAATGTATTTAAAATTTAGATTTTTTTCCACTGTCTTTGTCCCCCTTTCCCCCCCGATATTTCAGCCTTCCCAAAACCGAAATGAGCAAAGTAATGGATGAGAAAGAGGCCACAGAAGAACCTTCACTGCAGGAGCAGTGTGAATATGCTGCCACTGTGGAAGAAAAGAAGGTCAGTATTTTTTTTTTTCCATCGTAAACATGTCACATGCTTTTCATAACTCAATAGGTTCAAATGTAAAAGTTGTCTCTGAATTGTGTTTGGAAAGATCATATTTTTGAGCACAATTGTTGCAATTCTGAAAAATGTAACCGCTGCATGCGAGCCAATTTCAAAACTCTTACTCACCTTAACTTTGGCTCTGTTTCCCCTCTGGGTCTGGTTTAGTTTAGGTTTTTACTTTTTGAAGTTTTGTAGATTGTAATTCATGTCAGTGATGTACAGTTGCGGCGCAGACACACACACACATCCTTTAAACTTGCTTAGATAAAATGCGATTGCATCACCCAGGTCTTAAACTGATCCTGACATGTAATGAAACTATGTACATGTACTGAATGCTGCACACAGATGCCCAGGCATGTTACACACACTGGTGTTTTCCATTTAAGAAGACCGCCTGGTTAGCATTGTACTTTCAGCCCCAGCTGGCCTCACAATCTGCCACTTCCTTTGTCTCCTCCTAAATCAGAACTCCCTTATAACCTTTGACCTGTCAGTAGGATGTCTGCTGTTGTTTCAGCTGCTATCATCTAAGAAATAACATATTAAACATTCACAAAAGGTCGTGTTTAGATGTGTCATTTTATGTGTGCTATATGTGTATTAATTGTGTTGTTTAAAACAAGTATTACTCTTTAAAATGCATTTCAAATGCATGGTGCATTCTTAAAACTGTTTATATTTCATGGTAGCTCAAACTACAAAAGCCTTTTGTTTTAGAATTACACTATTACTCCACACAGCATATGTTTTCTATTAACATGCATGTGGTGTGGGTTTTCTGAAAACACAACAAACGTGTGAAGTCCCACACAAGTCGTACAGATTCATTGACAAAGGATGAATCCCGCTCAGTCTTTGTTGACACACTGTTTGCTTCTTTCTGTTTTGCCCGTTAACTGTTGGATTTTCTCTTTTCCTAATCACCATAGTTTTGGCCCTCCTGTTTTGTCTCTTCTGTCTTTGTTAACCCCCTTTAACCTCCTTACCCTGCTCCTCTGACACCTACTAACCCAGAGTTCTACTGATAACCGCAGTAGGTCACTGAAAGCAGAAACAGTTGTAGTTTGAACATGTGTTTGTGTATGCATATTATACAGTCTTTGTAGCCTTGAGACGAGCAATAATAAAACGGTATTCACTGTTTATGTGGAAACTGCTGAGCAGCTGAAATTGGAAAATGTTGGTCTGATCTCATTACATGCTATAACCAAGGACCATAGAATAGTAGTCTTGCGACTTTAATAATTTTTTCCAGGTATTATAAATATTATCGCTGGTAGTAAAAAACAAAAAAACAAAACAAGCTTTATCTCTCTTTCTCCTTCTCTACATCAGCCTTCCAGTCTCTACTCTGAGAGAGATCTCCTCTCGAGCAAGAACAGAGACGCCTCTCCCCCTCCCTCTCCCTCTCCCTCTCCCTCACCCTCTCCCTCTCCCTCACCCTCACCCTCACCCTCTCCTCCCTGCCAGCTTTCCTCACTGCAGCGCCAAGACTCAGGGCCTCGGGGTATCAAGGGAATCCTAAAGAAAAGCCGCTCCACCAGCGTGGAGTCGGACCACAGCGAGGGCTCGACTCCAGAGTGTGCGCCGGCCCGACAAAGCAGCGTCATCCTCAGCCACCTCGAGAACGAGGAGGAGATGGAGGAGGAGGAGATAGAAGAAGAACATCAAGAAGAGGAAGAGGTCAGTGGGGAAAATGACCAAGAGGACGAGTCACCGACAGACGATATCACAGATGGGGGGAGCTTCAGTGTCAACAGACAACAGAGGGAGGGAAGCAGCACTAGCAGCAGAGGGAGCTTCGAGGAGATGCAGAGCCCCTCGCCTGACGATAGCTTGGAGCAGACGTCCATAGTGTCGGAGGATGTTGAGGAGCTGGAGAGCAGTCTGGATTCAAGCATTGGCTCCTCACTCAAACAGAGGTCATTGGATGGACACAAACGCAGCATGCATTATGATGACAGACTACGTATAAGGCCTGAATGTGCATATTTGTGTATATGCAAAGGAAAAAGGGAAATAAAAAAATATTAAATAAAACTTAAACTTAACTAAACTTAAGCTCAGACCTGACAACAGTGAAACTTTGTATACTTTTGTAATTAGTAAGAGCTGTTAGAAATATAGCAAAACAAACACTGATTATAGTACTAAAATCTGAGCCTGGTTCCACAAACTCTAAAAAATGTAAATAAATTCCATCTTTGCACTGTTTCAATATATTTAAATAGACTTTGATTCATTTTATTTTAATACATGTGACTTAATCCCCCAATAATGAAAAACAAAGCATCATTACAGGCAAAAGCAGTAACTTTGAATGACACGCATTTTTTGTAATATACAGTAGTTGTAATAGATATTACCTGTGACCAGGTAATATGGAAAAAGACAGAGAGAAGCCAGGGAGTACAACTTTTAAATATCTTTAAACTTTTAGTGATTCCTTGAAAAAACAGTGGAAATGACTCATGCATCTTCTGCCCTTTTTCAGACTGGCAGAGTTCACAAGCGACAGTGAGAAGAAGAACAGAGTGAAGAAACCCAAACCATCCGAGCTGATCCAGACATCACTGGCCGATCGCTTCGGTCAGCTCCAAGGCGCTGAAAATGCCTGGAAGAAAAAGGTAGGTTTTTACTTATTAAACTAACTCTTTCTTTGTGTTGTGGGTTTTAGTAGTTAGTCAGTTAGTCTGAATAAAATGTCTACAAGACTTCTTAACAATAAAAGCCATTTATGTTGGACTGCATTGTGTGTGGGGCGGGCAAAAGGGCATTAATGAGCAAATACTACCTTATATCAAGACTTCCCTTCCACATTTCTTCCTCTGCTGAATCAGCTTATATCCCAGAGTGGCTGCCAAGAGGGTGTGTGGTGAGGGGAGGGGGGCTTGGGGGTGCAGGAGATTTGGGAGTGGTGATGCCAAAGCTAGAGATTCAGCTGGCCTCCCAAAGAGAATGACAGACACACCCCTTCCCCTTGTAAAAACAAAATCCTACACCATGACCAAACACCTGCAAAGCTTCCTAGCTAATGCCTGTTTCCTTTGCTGGGGTTTGGACTCTCCTCCTCTCACCGAAGTGAAAAGAGAATTTCCTGCATAAGCAAGCTTTTGTGTTCTTTTTGGGCCTTTATGTCTCACAGAAACATCCAGGTCATACAGTTTTACACAGGTCAGCGTAGACGGGTCAATAGACACAACTGAGATATTTTGAAGTGTTGATAGAAGTGGATGCAGGTTTCTACATGCTCTTCTCCTCCACAAACGAGACCACCCTTGATGGGTTTAAGTGGAAAAGCAACACTACACTCTGTAATACCTAGTGCAAGTAAATAATGGTACTAAAGCAGTGGAAAAACTTGTATGTGCCACACGGACATCCCCAAAACAGCCGACTGGACATGATTGTAGTGATGTCATGTGTATTTATGGACCATCTCTTGGTTTGATGTCTGCCAAGATCAACGATCCTCTTGGGGGATTTCTGGTTTTGGCTCATCCTTCATCCAAGGATGACCTAACCTTAGAATAAATCCACTCTCAGTCTGGAAAAAGCCACTTTGTAAGTACAGACAGCCAAAAAATGTGAACAAATCCCCGGTCAACTAAATACTGAAAACTGATTTTATTTTTGTGTGGTCTGTCTTCATTATGACAAATCAACGCAAAGTCTAAAAAGATTTAGTGTAATTCCATTAATGGCACAAAAACTGCATCCTCAACACTCAGACGCATGAAAGAAGGGCCAAACCAGTGTCCAAAATGTCTGCAGATTTTTTCCTTTAGCTCTATCTGAGGTTATTGCCTGTGAATTGGCCTGGAACCTACTGTACACTGCTACTGTAGAACTCTGGGAAACTAACTCACATCAGAGATAATACATGGTTTGGCTAAATTATCGGCATTGATGCCATGTCAGCATTAGCTATGGGGCAGTTCCATGCATGTGACTATTTTTGATACATCTCTATTTGTCTCCCAAGGAAGGGCTATTGCTTTTCATGTTTAGGCATGTAGAGCCGGAGCAGATGTTGTTGCTCTTTGCCTGATATGTGGGAGACCAGGGAAGGTTACACGCTTGGTACACACCATGGTCATCTTCAACTGGCTCCAGATGTTTCCTGTTAAGCCTGCTAAGCTTTTCTGTACAGCACATTTGGGTTGTAAAGTGAGGCCTTGTTGTGAATTCAATTTAAAGAGGGTCTGTCTTGTCTGGAATAATGATTGTTAATCATAAGTTACATTGACTGTTTGCAGTAGGTCATTAGTGAATGATTAATTGTAATGTAACAGAAAAACTACACTTTGCCAGTACATTAAATTATACATTTTAAAGTGTACAGTACTGTCCACACAGACATCAAAAAAAATATTTTGAAATCTACAGTTTGCTTTCAAATCTTTCAGGATTTGCTAAATGTCATGCTATTATATCCCAGTGATGACTCATTGAAGACTAGTCTGATCCAGTCCATTAAGACTAATGCTCTGTTGGAAATATTATCCCCGGGTGTGTTGATTCCCAGAAAATGTATTAGAGATAATCAAATAAAGATGAGTTGATTACCTCCAGTGTGTTAGTGTGTTGAATTGTTTTTAAATACGTCATTTACAGAAGACAACTCATAGCTAATTAGTTAATTAGTTAGAACACCGAGAGGAATCAAACAGGGTGACATTTTCACTACCAACTGAATCATGACACTAGTTTTATACCCTCATAAATTGGAATAATTACATGTATTGCTTTCAGTTTATAGTGTAATGGTGCCCTCTTTGCAACAGTTTTCCTTTCTCTCTCATCCTCCCAAATTTTATGCCAACTTTAAAATGACCCACGTCTCTTCTTTAGTCTTCCACGCTAAAACCCGCTCCAGCTGTTGCAGTCTAAAGTTGCCCTCCTATGTTCTTTCTCCTCCATACTCCTCTGATCATTTTTCTTCTCTCTTCTCCTTCTCTTCCTATTATTCCTCCTCCTTTTTACCCTTCCTTCCAGTTTCCTCTGTCCCTACCTGTGGACTCTACCCCTTTCACCTGCCTGTCAACCTTTCCCATCCCTTCAGGTGAGTGAGTGTACATACTGTAGATCCCTCTTTGCATGGACCTAATAAATAAAAGATTTTTTGTTTTGCCCTTATTTCTCTACCTGCGCTCTGGACAGCCTCTCACACTTACCGCTGAGAAATCAGAGCTGTCAACACACTTGTTGTTGCTACATGAATGTGGCTTGCTGGCCGTCAGTGGGTCCATATCTGTGTCAGTGGTTTGGCTGAGGCACTGCCTGCACCATACAGTAAGGCAGGGCTGAGAAAAATGGTTTCCTGTGGGGGTTTGAGACCCTAGCCCTTTCCTACCCTCCCTTCTCTCTGGGGTCCTGTCAAGCCAAGGTATTTCCCCTCTCTGATTGACTCCAGAGATGGGCTGCTAGCTGGAGGGGCTGTGTCAGTCTGTCAGTCATTATAGTACCAAGAGACTGTAATGTAAGGTAGTGTATAAGTAAAAAAAGGTATTTTTGAGTCTTAATTGTTTAAATTAACAAGACTCTTTTACTTTTAGAGTGTTTTTGGGGCGGCATTAGCTCAGTCTGTTCGGACTTAGCTTGGAAACCGAAGGGTCGCCGGTTCAAGTCCTGCACGATCATATGCCGAAGGTGTCCCCTGAGCAAGGCCTTGAATCCCAAACTGCTCCCTGACCGCCGTACGATGGCAGCCCACTGCTCGCTAAATAGGATGGGTTAAATGCAGAGTACTAATGTCCCCTTCCCTTTGAACGGTTCCATGGTGTAATGGTTAGCACTCTGAACTCTGAATCCAGCGATCCGATTTCAAATCTCGGTGGAACCTGAATTTATCTGCAATTTCCCCACTGTGGGACAAATAAAGGTTTTTTATTTCACTCAAGATGTGCAGAAACAGCTCTGTATGTCAGAAGATATATTCTGTCACTTCATGAAATCAGCAAGAGTTCACTTTGATGTTCACCCCTAGTACGTTGTCTCTGTGTGTATGATTAAATGTATTTCTTTGAACTTTTCTCATGTGTCAGGCTAATATGTTTGACGTTAAAGTAAAAAAAAAAAATGAGTGAGAGGCAAGAGAGGTGTGTGTGTTTATGGTGTGTTTGAGCGGAAGATTGCCTGAGGGAAACTGGTGTTTTTCCGTTGTGTGACTACATGGCTGTTTGTATTTTGCAGTATGTGTCACGTTACTTCAGGACAAATAACGCAGGATTCCTCAGGCTTGTTATTTAAATATTATTCCATTTTTGTTACATAGTATTTCAATTTCCAGATACTTATACTTAAGGTTTTTTCTATTTTTAAATGATTGTTTAAGCAGGGGTGGAGAGTCTTACTCAGGGACAGTTCAACAGTAAATATATTGTTAGACACAAGTTGTGACTGTTGTGAAGATTAAACTTTTGACCTCCCAGTCACAGGATTTCTTCAACTGCCAGGTTATTTTTCGTCTGCTTTTCCAAGCTCCCATTGGCTTTGTTCTGTTTAACTCAGATCAGCATGACTGATCTTTCAAAATGAATATCTTTTTGGAAATAGTGTGAGCAGTAAAATAATGCAATAGTGACTATTGTTTTTGTCAATTCACAAAGTTAATAAATCATTTTTCTAACTGATTAATGGGTTGAGTAAAATATATTGGATGGTAGCTGTAAGCATTTAATTAATCAACTAGGTGGAGTACACCTTGGAGAGGTCGCCAGTAAGTCACAGGGCTCTATTCATAAAATTGCTCATTTAAAATTCACATTTCAACAGGTTTAGATTTGTCATGAGCTAGTAACAGAAATGTATTGATGTCTGCCACTTTGTTACAGTATTATGTAGTACTTGCTTCAATTGTATGGCTATACAATTAATCTTAGAACTGCGATGTGAAAGTAGAATTTTAACACTCACCCATTGCCTTAGCTAGCCAAAAAGTGTGGCCAGCCATAGTTAATTAACAGTAATTCTATGAGTTGACAAAACTACAACTTGAAGACTCAGACGCAGTTGTCTGGTTATTTTGCACTTTACATGCCAGCGTCTATACCATTTACAGTCAGTCAAAGATGGGTTCCTCGAGTAAGGAAGCCTTGGTAAGGGAGAAACGATGGAGGTTCTAAATATCATTATCTCTGTATTATCGTATCGTGTTTAATACTATGAAAACAATCAATACAGGTCCTGAGGTTAATATAAAGAAAACAATATTAAAATTGCGATATTGGCCAGAAAAATCCCAAATGAACATTTTCACAACTCATTCAGCCTAAGCTTTTGTATCAACATCAATTTAATATCAAACATTTGAGGATAAACTGCTGATTTTGCGAGGAAACTACCCTGTCTGTTCTACTGCCACATTGACATCAGCCTGGCTGCAGTTCACCACTTGAGCCACGACATCTTTCTTCGCTTTAAAGCTGCTGACATCTGTGAGTGTTTAAGTTGACTCTCCAGAGCTCACAGTAAAGATGATGCTATGAGTTACAGCGTGACAGTCAGCAAAGCACAAAGATCAGTATTCGTCCACAAAGAAAATTCCTCTGTGACTGTAACAAGCTGTTTGGGTTTTGGGAAACCCAATCATTTGTTTGTCATTTACTTCCATCTCCTGTGGCACACACTGCCCTGCTAGAGCTCTCATATAAATGTCTATAGGCACAAGTATATCCAAGAATATACAGTGCACATATAAATGCATGCAGGTACCAACCATGTAGAGGTTGCAATGCTTTTTCTATCTGCTGGAATAAGGGTAGGCAGCCAGTAAAAACCCAGGAAGGGCCATAAAACGGTTCAAATATTTAGCAGTGGAATATCATTACTGTAACAGCTCCTAGGGCCCAGTGGGACCAGGGGGCAGTAAACCTCTGCTAATTCATTTTTAATGGTAGAGTTCAGGTGCAAAAATGGCAGCAGGAGTAAATCACGTAAGGAAAGCTCTACGTAGTGAGTAGTGGGTGATGGATGGCCTCTGGGTATATAAATGGGGATTTTGGTGTTTTATTGTCATGTCTCAACATTCCTCATGTTTTCTTTTTGGAAAATAGGGTTTGAATAACATAGAAAAAACTTCTGGAAGTAGTTGTTTTTAGGGAAAAGTCACACTCCCCCCAAAAATAATAATTTCCTATTAAATTCCTTTCTGCCCGTGACGTTGTTTCACCAGTAGACTCTTCTATCCTCATGCAGGCTTTCTTGCTCACACATGGTTTCTTCACTGTGTCCTCATAACTGTTGAAATGAAAACTGTTGTTTGAAATAAATGAGTAAACTAGAGCTTATGTACAGTTCTGAAAAATAAAAGACATAAATCTTAAATTTAATTGTATTTGAATAAATGTTCCAACAGACTTCTGGTGTAGATGTGGAGCCTAAGATGTCGCTGGCAGAGAGGATGAAGATCCTTAAAGACAAGGAGGAGCAGTGGAAGAACAAAGGCAAAGGAGCAGCCAACGACTCCATCCAGTTCACTGTGGCAGGACGCATGGCCAAGAGAGGTGAATCTACAGTGTGTTTATTCAGTGGCTTTTGCATTCCTTCAAGTGTCTTTCAGGTCTTACACTTCACTTTATGTTAGTCTTTATTTTTCTTTTCTTTTTTAAAGAAAGATTCAAATAAACAGTTGACATTAAGTTTTCAAATAAAGAAGGGGAAAAAAACGACCCAATAATGTTTTGTGAAAATGGACAAACAAAACAATGATTGCAAGCCTTATAACAGCATACTGTATATAGACATTTAGCTGCATCATATTTGATCATTCATACACAGGCACAAGAACATCAGATAGGATATCTTCAGGGTTGATGGATACTGTATGTAGGACCCATGAAGATGGGACCTAAAAATAATTCCCTCTAGAGCTGCAATGAGTATTCGATTAATCTCATTCCCTTGAAAGTAAACAGAATATCTTTGCACTTTGAACTGTTGTCCAGACAATACAAGGCCTTTGAACTTGCTACTTGAGACAAGAAAAAATAATTGACTGACAGATCAATAATAAAAATGATCCTTGCCGTTTGTGTTCCACCAGGTCTTGTGTCAGATACCGGAAAAGAAGAGTCACCTCTTGTCTCTCTCAAGAAGTCCAATGTCACACCTGTGAAGCCACTTGAAGGTAGTACACATAACCCTTCAACTTAGAGTCAGTGTGGAAGTCATTCAGGGAATCAATAATGTGATTAACCCAATACATCTGTTAATGCAGCATTATGTTGTGAATCAATAAGTGTATTCATACTTGAAGTGGACTCACATTACACAGGTTTCATTTAAATATTTTAGTAATTTAATATAATTTAATACTTTTTTAAAACAGTATTAATGCCAAAAAAGAATATTATTCTACACTAAGTACACTAATCCACATTTAATCAGGCCTGTTTTTGCTGGACAGAAATCTCCAGTAGAACTGACGTCAAGGTGGAAGGAGATAAAAGGCTTGACAAGCTTGAGTCTTTCCTCGACAAGCTCCACAATAAAGGTATTTGTTGTTGTTCTTCAGTGTTATTCAAGTGTTTTTAAGGCCTAGTGTAGATGTGTGTATACAGAATTTTATTTTATTCCAGTCTTATGTCTCTTTTACTGTCACATCACTATAATGTGTATTGAATGTTACAAATAAGCATTTTTTAAGTGAACCTACACAGACATTGATTGGTTTATTAAATATCCCGCAAGCTCATAGGACAGGATGTCCTAACACATTTAGTACACATCTATCTGAATGAATCACCTTACCATTAACTTCTTCCGTCCACCTAAAAGCATAATTCAGCAAGCACAAAAGCATCATTAGCAAGAGAAAATGTCCGTGTAACACTTCCTGTTCCACATCCCTCCTGTCTCCTGCCACGGTGGGCGGGTCAGGCGTGAGCAGTAGCAAGACATCCACCATCGAGGTGACGGCAGAGACGGAGAAAGAAGTGATGACCCTGGACGACGAGGAGACGTTCGGCAACTTCTACAAACCTGTGTCACCCTCGACACTCCTGGACTCCAGTGTGGTTCTGACAGAGGAGGACTTCAGCCAGATCCAGGCCGATACACCAAAGTCAGTTTATAATTAACAGTAATAACCTAAGAACTTTTTCTGTGCCTTATTGACAGAAATGTACAGTTTATGGGATCATTGGCCATTAACCATGTACTAGTAAAAATACTATTGTCCAACTGTCATTCTCAGGTCCTTGGTTGCTTAAATTCTAAATCACCACTGTTTTGTGTGTTTTTGTCTCCAGGCTCACGTCAGCCGTAGCAGAACACAAGCGGGCAGTGCGACCACCCAAAAGGATTCAGGGCTCCAGAAACCCACTGCGGGCTCTAGCTGCCCGCAACGACATTCGTCAGGTCTACACCGAGCAGAGGCTTAACGTAGCCACGGTGGAGACCAAGAGGATCCAAGTGGAGAGGAGTAAGTCTACTCAAACGTTCTTACTGTGGCGCTGTTAAGGTTCTCACCCTAGCTAAGCTGAAGAGTCTCACATGGCTAAAGAGCTTTCAAGGACCACCCAAAGATAAATTCATAACCCAAATACTGTATAATGACAAGATACATGGTGGTGTTCCTGATAAACTTACAAGGTTCCAGCAGCCTTTAGTGGTTTCTGAAGGTTTTAGTTTGCTCTACTGGTGTCTGAAACTTTAACAATTATATATAGGAAAACAAACAATAGCAGATGAATGCAATTACAGTCAGTAATTTAAAACAATTTTGATACTTGAATGGAATTGCATAATACTGTAGCTCAATCAAACCCAGAATTTTGTCTCCTGTCCCACACTGTAAAATTCACAAATCATTGTACCATGAGCTATAGAAACTCAAATCTTCAGGTCAGTATCAGATTTCTCCCTTAACCCAGTCTAATTTGGGAACCACATCTTACTTATTTTAAGAATATTTTACCGATACAAGACTCTGCTTCCTCTTTGTTTATAATTACTGTTTAGAGACAACTTTGTTACAGTTTCAGTTAGACCTTGAATTGAATAACATGCTGAACGCAAGGATGCATTGTTTCATCCTGCACCCTAACACCCCAACTAACTGTGGCTTAAGTTTAGGCAGGGAAATTGTGTTTCTCTAATCCCCTACCCCGATGACAAAAAAACAGGTTTCCCTACTACTACTACTGCATAAAGCCAACTGTAAATAGGTCATTTAAGTGTATGCACTGTAAACTCACTGCATGAAAGCAAAAGCTGAGGACTGAAGCTGTTGGGAAGGTACAAGCAGCTGTTCTTGTTAGCTACCTGATATTCTTATGCTGTATGTTCATATGCTGCTTGTGTGTTTCCTATATTCAGTTCCTCCCTATAGACACTCTTCACAGACTAGTTTGAACTTTTCACAGGTAGCACAAGAGGAAGTGAGCACCGCAGCTCTGTATAGGCTGTCTACTAGCTCACATGAAAGAATAAATGAGAAAACATATTCTGTCTCTTATGATCTGTATCAGGTTGTGGTCTTTATTTGTCAAAATTAGTCAGATAGTACATTAGATCAAGGAACAAAGTGTATCGGTTCAATTCTATTGACTGGTCCTCTTGTTTACTTTCCCTCAAAGTGGCAAAACACTCCAAAACAAACCTGGCCGATGTGGCCTTGGCCGGTCTCGCCAGCAAGGAGAACTTTCGCAAGATCAGCCTGCGCAGTGTGAAGTCCACCGATGTCGTGACCAATAACAGTGCCGTGCCTTTCAACAAGCTCATGCTCATTCGCATCAAAGGTCAGAAACACAAGAGAATGTGTTGTTTTTCTATAAATAGTATGGTGATCAATCACCCGTAACTGTATTTATTATGAAATGCAAAGGACATAACACTCAAAACTGCTGTTAATGGGAATCTCAAGTGTGTTTCTAGTGTCATTTCTTAAGAATTATAAGTTAATAAACCACAAAAAAAGAATATTTAATGACAGATCTATATCAGTTCCAGAGTAAGGCTCTTGAAGTCTGGTTGCAAAGAAGTTTAAGCTGCTTTGTCACCGTCTGTAGGTCGGAGGCACGTCCAAGTGCGCTTGATGGAGCCCACAGCCCACTCTCTAAACAGTGGCGACTGCTTCCTTCTGATAACGCCAAAGCACTGCTTCATGTGGAGCGGAGAGTTTGCCAATGTCATTGAGAAAGCTAAGGTACTGAAGCTCGCACACAGAATGAAAAAAAGCTTCCCGAAAGTTTCAGAACCAGGTTTTGGATTTGAATGTTTAGCCCGGTGTTGATACAGCGTTATAAACTTTCCACTTGAATCCACTTTGTGCGACCAGGCATCGGAGATGGCATCGTTTGTCCAGACCAAGAGGGACCTCGGGTGTAAGGCCCCCCAGGTGACAGTTCTGGAGGAGGGCATCAACACTGACAGCAGATGGGCCAAAGAGTTCTGGAGTCTGCTGGGAGGACAGACCCAATACAGAGGTTCATACACACATTTAACAATTTAACAACATAGTCAGGATCATCATCTGCTTTCTCTCACTGAGTCTACCTCTGCCTGTATTAAGTACAATTGATCTTGGATTCTCTATAACATCAGGGTGTTTTTAGTGAAAGTGAGTGGAAACTGCTGCCCTTGTTTCATTGTGTGTGTGTGTGTGTGTGTGTGTTACAGGGGCAGGGGAGCCAGATGAGGATGAGCTGTATGAGAGCGGGGTGTTGGACTCTAATGGGGTGTACAGACTCCAAGGAGACAAACTGGTGCCTCATGAAGACGCATGGGCCTCTATCCCGAGTGTCTCCTTGCTCAACTCTAAAGAGGTAACTAGAGTCCTACTAGAGTAATGACCTCATATGTCTGGGAAGTGTGGAAAACTTAATGTGATCCATTTTGCACCTGGAAAAGTCTGCACAAAAAAAGTCTGAAAAGGGATGGTATAAAAGTTTGAGATGTTCCTAATGCATCTTTAATAATCCAGACATTCCAATGCTCATTGTTTCTGTTGTTTTGCAACAATAACTGCAATAACTAAACTTTCTTCCATCTTCTCTCCCTCCTTCCTGCTGCCAATACTCCACGCCAGGTCTTAGTATTTGATTTTGGCAGCGAAGTGTATGTCTGGCATGGGAAAGACGTGCCCTTGGGTGACAGAAAAGTTGCTGTGAAACTGGGCAAACAGCTCTACAGCGGCAGCTATGACTACAGCAACTGCAGGGTCAACCCTTTAGATGCCTCCTGCACGAATAAGGATGTGCCTCAGTGAGTACCACATGTTAATCACGCCACCTTTTCTAGCAGTTATCACAGTTGTAAAAGTGCTCTGAGTCTGTGGTGCACTTTTTGGTTTTTATTTTAGTTGTTTTGGATGCCTGCTGTGTACTCGGTAGATGCAGTTTTATGTATGATATAAAGTGGGCATGATTGCACAGCAACATTTGTTGTTGATTATTGGTTGGGTTCTTGTAGCCCCCAGTGGTTTTATCTTGCAAGTACAGATGCACAGAGAAGATGTTTTTAAATTGTGTGTGTGTGTCTTTCTGATTTCCAGGCAGGGGGAGGGTCGTCCAAGCTGGACTCTGTTTGGCCGTCTGTCAGAGCACAATGAGACAGCCCTGTTCAGAGAGAAGTTCCTGGACTGGGCCGAGAGGAAGAAGGAGGAAGCGGCTCAAGCTGAGGAAATAAAGGTCAAAAGACTTCTGAAAATAACGTTGGAAGTGACTCTATGTTCATATAATATATGAATCAGTGCCAGCTTTCAGAAGTCTGTTTTGCTTGTTTGTCCTTGCTTTGGGTTCATATTTTGTGTTAATTCTTGATTGGATTGGATCTGTAGGTATGTCTTTAAAGGAATTAAGAAGAAGCACAATTCTGCTGTAGCAGTTCAATTCATGAATATACTTAGCTAAGTAACAAATTTAAAACTGAATAAAATGTTCTTTGTCTGCTCAGAGCCCAGTCTACTTCACCGAGCGTGCCCCATTTGAATTGGAGCTGCAGCCATGTGATGCCAAGGTCCTGCTGGACAACGAGCCGGAGCCGGTAAAGACAGTTCTGGAGGGGGTGAACGTCCAGCGGGGCCACGGCCTGGTGAGGGCAGACGATGAAAGACAAGCAGAGTTGGCTACAATAGCTGTAGACGCCTGGCACATCAAAGAACACGGTGAGGAGGAAATGCCTGAAAAGAGCCTGGGTCAACTTCACGAGGGCGATGCATACATCATCCGTTGGAAGTACTCCATCACCACACTGGGTGAGTCCTCCAAATGGGCACACAGTGGACTTTTAAAAGGCAAATTTAACTGTGGTTAAAGAGGTCTGAAAGAAGAGAGGCCTGAGGGTGAGGATTCTACAAGAGCAGAAGTCCTGTTTTCCTTTACTGTGGATTACTGTAGGTCTGCTCTGTTATGTTTTTGTCAGTGGGGAAGCGGCAGAAACCCGGGGAGCTGAGTGCTGGCGCTCCAGGAAGAGAGAGGACTGCTTGTTTCTTCTGGCAAGGCCGACACTCCAGCATCAGTGAGAAAGGAACCTCAGCCCTAATGACAGTGGAGCTGGGCAGCCAGAGGGGGTCACAAGTGAGTATAAGTTCATCACAGCCATACAAAAATTAATTTTTAATGGTGAAGTTCTTGGTTAGAACACATAGTTAGCTAGTGTTTCTTCTCAAAGTGTGTTGTTCTTCATGTGTTGGTATCTGATTGTATGTCCAGGTGTTGGTGAGTGAGGGGAAAGAGCCTCCATGCTTCCTCCAGCTGTTCCAGGGAGGTTTGATCATCCACAAGGGCAGCAGAGAAGGCAGTGCCAACAACACAGGTCAAAAACAAAAACATGCACTGTATTACTGCTGATTTATGTAGAAGCTTTGGTTACCTGTATAAAATACTGTATCAAACCCATCGTTACAAAACGGTGAGTTGGAACTTGTTGGACACTTGTGCTAATTCTCAGATTTAGTTGAATGTTTTGACACTGTATTGTTGCGGCATTACTACTTCTCTAATACTGTCTGGTTCACCTCTCCAGATGGCTGGAGGTTGTTCTGTGTCCGTGGTGAGGCGGAGGTGGAGGCCTCACTAGTGGAGGTAGAATGCCAGCATGCCAGTCTGCGCTCTCGTGCCAGCCTGGTGCTTCTTAATGCTCAGAAAGGCCTTCTCTATTTATGGCACGGCTGCAAAGCTCACGTCAGTGCCAGGCTGGTGGCCAAAAGAGCTGCAGACAAAGTAACTCAGAGGTAAGGCATAGGCAGAAGGATAAATAATTTTCTAATGGACGGACACATGAGGACCAATAATTTTCTGCGTTTGTGTCTTCAAGGTGTCCCCCAGAGTTAGGTCTGAGCAGCACCAGTAGCGTGAAAGTGGAGGAGGTGGAGGAAGGGTCCGAACCCGCAGAGTTCCAGAAGGCTCTAGGCCCGCAGGACAAGAAGGCCTACGACTGTATGCTGCAAGGTGCGTCCTCGCATTCACACACAACTTACCCAAATGATTATCAGCTAGAAAGAGAGAGAAAGCTCATTAATGGCCGTTTCTGTTCAGTGTGCGAGCTGATGTGGTGAGATGTGTGTTCGTGTTGTCTCCAGATCCAGGGAAGTACAACTACACACCCCGGCTGTTTCGGCTGAGCGCCAGCTCCGGAGTATTCGAAGGGGAGGAGCAACTATATCCCGCCAGGGTGATAGAGGGAGTCATGGCGATGCCCTTTCTGCAGGAGAACCTCTACTCCGCACAACAGCCAGGTACCGAACACACACACACACACACACACACACACACACACACACCTGCAGCAATGTTACATTTCACTGAATTGTGTGTTTATTAGTTGTCTTATGCTTTACTTTGAAACTAAACACCCCCTTTTCTTTCTGGAATATAGATCAGTGTAAAACTAATTGTAAAAGGTGATTGTTATGAATTGGTGCTGTATAAATAAAATTGAATTGGATTGAATATGTTCTCCTAGAATAAGGTTTGGAGAACATAGGAGTCAATAGTAGTTTGTGGGCGGCTGTGGCTCAGGAGGTAGAGCAGGTTGTCCGTTAATCAGAAAACCGACGGTTCTCCAGCTCTTCCAGGCTGCATGTCGAAGTGTCCTACAAAAGCGCTCAAAAGCGCTTTGAGTGGTTGAAAAGAATAGAAAGGCGCTATACAAATACGGAGCATTTACATTTAGTTTTGTCCTTGATTGACAAACAAGACATAAAAATTTTTAATTTAAATATTTACCAGCAACTGGAGAGTATTTATTTATATACTAAAATATGACTTCTCTTTGTTATATTAATTTAACATTACTAGGACTGTATTACCTCTTAGTTTTACTGGATAATACAAGGGTTCTACCATCTTATCTAATTCTCATGCTCTTGCCTCCCCAGCGCTGTTCCTGCTGGATAACCGTATGGAGGTGTACCTGTGGCAGGGCTGGCAGCCTGAAGACACACAGTGTACCGGCTCAGCGAAGATACGCTGGAACAACGAGAGGAAGTGTGCCATGGAGACGGTGCTTCAGTACTGCAAAGGTCAGAGTTCAACCAGTGTAGCTAAACAGCTTGTGTGAGAACATCTATAGTAATTGTTCAGGACTGGTGCTCACATTTACTAACTTACTTATAATCCTAAAAGTAACACTTGGTTTGTGGTATGATTTACAGAAAAGAACCCTCGACGCCCCCCTCTGGCCTATCTGGTCCTAGCAGGCTGTGAACCTCTAACCTTCACAAACATCTTCCCGTACTGGGAGAAGGACACCAGTATTGCTTCACTGGTGGGATCTTTTTTTTTCATTGTGATGTCTCTGTTCATTTGTGTTGGGGTTAGCAGATCTGTCCCAGTATCACAGCTCAGATAGGCAGATTGCTTTCAAGTCAACACTAGTCAACACCAGAAAGAATCCAAATCATCTCACTCAACCAGATCTGTTCAGACAAAGTACCATCCCCCAGATATGTATTTAAAGCTGGCATGCAGACTCACATGTAGTGTTAAAGTAAAATGAAGAATTGTAGAAAAAGAAAATGTGTCCTCTGTAGTAAGCAGGGATAAAGTCACCATCTTGGATTAAAACCACTGTCATTTCAGCCTCCCATCAGCCTCCGTAAACTCAGGAGCATTATTCTTTCCTACAAGATTTATTGATCTTAAACAGAAACTACAGTATTTCAGTTTTATGTTTGTTTACCTACTGTAACGTATATGCACGCAGGCAGAGGGCTCCAAAAACAAGGTGATGTTAGTAAAGGAGGCGCTGTCTAACCTCAGTAAGCAGCAGTACTCCATCGAGGAGCTGACCGGGAAACCGCTACCAGAGGGAGTGGACCCTCTGCGCCTGGAGGATTATCTGTCTGACCAGGACTTCAAGGTAGGGCCTTTTAGACTTAAAGTTTATAGATTGTTTTGTCATTAAGACTATTTACTTGCAATTAATTGCTTGTAGTGTGTGGGAGTGTAAGCCAAGGACAGAAGACAGAAGGAACATTTCTGAATGATATTCAAATTAAACCGTGTATTAAAGCAACAAAATCTAAGTAAAAATATCAAATGATGAAAATAATAAAAATTCTTTGACATAAAAAAATGTGATCCAGCTTTCTGGATGTTAAATCAATGAGCTGTGTCTTTGTTTTGGATGTTCATACAGTTATGTGTTTATATAATGCATACATGCATCTTACAGCAAAAATACTTATTAACAGATTTCATATATTGATTCTGAAAGATACAGTATACAATTCATAAACACTTTTAATTGAGGCCTCATGTAACATGTTTTCCTCTTTAATGTTTTGCAGACACTTCTTGAGATGAGTCGAGTTGAGTTCAATGCCCTGCCAAACTGGAAGCAAAAGAATCTCAAGAAAAGCAAGGGCCTGTTTTAAAACACACCAATTTGTACACAAATGTTTTCAGCAGCTTTTCTTACATTTTGTATTCCTCATTGTGTAAAGGATAAAGAAAAGCAAATGTACAATTTTGTTCAAATGTTGATCTATTTTTAAAAACAATGCCATTTAAAATTTTTCCCTGTTTCACTGAAATATTTTAGCCAACCATTATGTGCAATTACTTCATGTGAATCTTCTTTTTGATGGGAAGATGTTTTCCTTGTATGGTAAAAATAGTTTCCCTCACATTATAAATATGTAATATACTATAAATGAATGTGTTTTTATGTTTACTCCAGACAGTGTCAATTTTTGTGTTTGTGAATGTGTTTTATAAAAATTGCCTGTGGTTATTCATCGATTTTTATATTTCTCTACTTAGAAGTTGACAAAGAAAAGAAGCAAAACAAATGAAAGTTCAGAGAACAATCCATGTCATTTGTGATTGTTTGAAAGAAATGCGGTAAACAAAGATTCTAGACACCTGGCTCATCTAAAGTGTTATGACAGCAAAAATAATCCATTTATATCTTTTTTTTATTTTTGTATTGTAACAGAAAATGTGCAGAGGACGTGTGACAAAGTAAACTCCAAAATCCGAAAGAAAGCTGAAAAATGAAATGTTAACTCTTGACTTTGCTACCTTTACATCGGCCTTTAAAATGGACTCAACAATTGTTCTAGTTTGGTACTGGATACTTCCTGCTTCTCATGAATAACTGCCTGTGTGTCAGTGATTGCAGCATTCTAATCAAATGGTTGTTTAGGACCAAATCTTTTGTCTTGTTATAAGTGTTTCTTTGTGAATCTGTGTGAGTGTAAATGTACAACTTTAAAAGTATTAAGTGTGTGTGTGTGTGTGTGTGTGTGTGTGTGTGTGTGTGTGTGTGTGTGTGTGTGTGTGTGTGTGTGTGTTTATGTAAGAGAGACAGCAAGAGAGTAACTGTGCTGTATAAACTGCCTTTACAGCTGTAGATGACACCACAAATGTATACTGCAAAACTTGTCCTGTATGTTAATATGACTGTAATATGCCTGTGATGTCTGAATAAGGAAATTCTCTGCATGATGTTCACAAAAAAAATTTTGCTTAATCACATTTGTTGCAATATGCATCTTTTTTGTGATACATGAGATCTGCAATATATGTTGAGACAGCTTCCAGGCCATCTTGTATTTCATGGCACATAAAAGTAAACATTGGTGGTAGGGAAAATAAAAATTAATGCTCAAGATTCCCTTTGAAATAAAGTATTTTTAAAAGTGTTTGGTTCTGATCTCCTTTTAATCAGCTCAAGCGTGGATATTGTCATAACATTGGAAACAAAGGGAGGAGCTATACGGGTTTTCACTGAAGATGTTTTAGCATGGAACAGGTGTAAATAATTAAATTAATGATAGCTAATGTGGGCACTTAAATAAACAGAGCCCTCGTTAATGTTATTAGTAACACCTGTGTTTTTCTTACTAAGCTGAGTCAAAATGTCTGCCGTGAAAAAGGCCTACTGGGATCAATTAACAGCCACCCATTGCTAGTGGCCAGACACATTCATTTATTTTATTTCTGTGAAAAAGTTGCATTCCTTATTTTGGCCTTATTGGACAGAACAGTTTTTAACAGTAGACTTTTTCCCAACCCGCGTTCCTCACACATTTCTTTAAAGCCCAGAGGCCATTACGGCTTCACAAGCTAGAAGTTACAGCATCTGAAAAAAACAGTTAATTATCTGTAGGAGCTCCTGAAAAGGTAATTGGTTACTTCAGCTATTTTAAGATATAGAATGTGTACAGACACTAAAATCCTGTACAGTCTCTTAGCAATGGATTATTTTGGTAACCATCTTCATAGGCCTCATGGCAGGCATTTAGACCTGTCTTACAGCAGGAAAAGCACAGGTTGAATTAATAACATTAACGATGGCTCCATTTAATTTAGGGGTCTCCCAAAGCTGAGCCAGCAGGCACAGTACCAGAGCCCTTGGAACTAAAATGATGATCTAAAATGAATACAGTCAGTATTCATTTTATTAGTAACATTTGTGTTTGACAAGTCAAAAGGTCCACAGAAAGGTCTGTCACTTGTTTACTTTTGCTTGATTAAATGCTTTAAAATCTATCATGTTAGAAATCCATTTCATTAAAACGACTCAAGGACAAGATGACAAGATTGATTTTGTTAGATCTGGCTCATTAAGAGCTGCTGGGCATAATACAGCAGGGATAATGTTCAGGAACATTGATCAATAGGCTCATTCTTCCATATCATGGTATTGTGCTCAGGGCCTCAGCCAGGATTTTAGAGATAGGCCTTTTCTCAGAGAAAACTTTAAACAGACCAACATACATTTAAAAAAAATCTCTTCTTGTATCATTTATTAATATAATTTAAACTTGAATAATTTTAGCTTTAATATAGATTTAAGGCAACTTGTTGGCAAAAGGTTATATTTACACACCCAGCAGATACAGAGCAAAATTAGCATTCATTTGGAGTCGTATTTGGGTTCACTTTACTAATATATTCACTCTTCTTTTATCTTTGTTTTTGGTTTTCACCAACTTGAACTTTATCAGTTAGCTAGTTGCTTACTTTGTTTGCCATTTGGTGCTGGGCAGGTACCATACCCTGAGTTTCTAAAGGTTTTTTGTTGCTGAAACACAGCTATGAAAGCAGTAGAAACCAAAACAGTAAAGTTTCATGCGGGATAAAATAAAAACACATCTAAGATTTTTTTAAAGATAGCGCTGAGGGGAACTGCAAAGTCGGGTGATAACTCCATGCGATCAGTTGTCAATATAAAATACAGATTGTAGTAGCTGCTTTAATGTTTTATTTTTTCAGTTAACTGTTAAATTGTGTTTTACTAATTAAATGGTGTTTCCAAGCCTCCACGCTGTCAGGAATAACATTTTGGGAAATCCTTCTTTACTTGTTGTCCTTAAAAGTCAAAGACATGATATAGTGTCCTCAATACATCTACAATAGCAACATCCCTGATTATGTTACTGTGTAGTCACTACACATAATACGGTAATGCTACTTTGCATGTTAATGCAAGGTTAAAAGTTCTAGTAGTCATGTTTATATTTAACCACCAGGGGGTGGCCTCTGTCCAGCCTTTGCTATCTGTGAAGCTTTGCTTTGAGCAGCCTTTTGGCCCATACATAATCAGTAAGTGATAAGTAGGAAATGAAACATTTAAAACAAAGAAAAACAAACTAAAGAAGCTTGTTGAATTTGTTTTTGTTTGTGGGAGGTAGGTCTTGGAAATTTGTCATGGAAACATTGTGTCAAAAAACATTCATGATGAATATTAATTATGTAAAGCCTGACTCATGCATTGCAATAGCTGTATTAAACAACACCTGCTGAGTTAGGTTGCAGCCTATGGTTGCAGCACATCTGTGCATTACACACCCAGGGTCAATGACATACTGTAAACACACAGCGATAAGTGTGTATCACGTAGAAGACACATTTGTTAAAACATAAATTAGCTCTACCTCTCTCCCCTATAGATCCTCCATCCACGTTGATGCCAACAAACAGCAGCAGCAAAGTTATTTCCATAACAGATGGCAAGAGGCAGTCGCTGCTTCTCCGAACAGCAAATGGGCAACTGGTTTGTTTATTTATTAACAACTCTGTCCTGGAAGCATTTATCACCTTCATCGCTCCGCCTTCTGACTCAGGTGCCACAGCAGCCCACAATGAGGGTGACATGCAGGCAAACAATGAAGCTGCTAATACAAGATTAGCTTGAGTAATAACATGCTGGATATGAGATGAAGGAGCTGAATGGGCAGCTTTGGAAGGGAAAATGATCTAGAGCTTTAATCAGGCCCCAGCATTTGTCTGAGCATGAGCCTTAGTACGTCCTAAACTCTGCCTGAAGTCATGCTTAAACAATATTTGTTATACACATTGAACCAGTGCCGTACATACTGTTTTGTTTTCCTCTGTTTTCAATATTGGTAATGCAGCGCAACAGAAGAAGTTTGTATTTTCCAAATAAAGTGGCTAATTTTGGGTTTCTGTCAGTTTCACTAAAGTTAAGACAGCTTTAAGTGTTAACAGACACATTAAAGCAATTAGTTTGATGCTTTGGAAAATATGTTTATTTACTTTCTTGCCTTGAGTTAGACGAGAAGATTGATACCACACTCTGTCTGTACGCAAAATATGAAACTACAACCAGCAGCCAGTTAGCTTAGCTTAGCATAAAGACTGGAAACAGGGAAACAAACTCCGCCTACCAGAACCTCTAAAGCCTACTACCCGTAATTAACGTGTCATATTTTGATCTGTGCAAAAACAACAAGTTGTGGTGTTACAGGGGAAGGGGTTCTGTTTCAGACAATTTCTTGGCAGGGCACAATAACTTCCTGCAGTCTCTGCTCCACTACAACTTTTTACACTTTTTTACACTTTTCTTTTTGTACAGATTTAACAAACAAGATATAACATGTAAAAAAAATGCACTGGTCAGTGGATTTTCTTACCTTTGGACCAAGACAGGGTGGCTGTTTTACCCCGTTTCCAGTCTTATGGTAAGCTCAGCTAACTGGCTGCTGGCTGTGACTTCTTATTTACTGCACAGACACAAGTCTGGAAGAGTGGAATTGATCTTTTCGTCTAACTCTCAACAAGAAAGTGAATAAGGAAAATGTTCCAAAATGTCAAAGCAATGGTGAAAAGGCAAATTGCTGCAAATGTTGCTAATTACTAGTTTACCACATTTGACTCTAGGAGCACAAGTCTAGATTTCTTGCATCTTATCTCAACAACTCTTAAACTATGCCAAAACTGTCATTGCCAACATATTCCCTGGAGAATAGGAGCTCTCTTTGTGCCAGTGTAATTTGATTTTTGTGTGTATTGACCTTTTGTACAGAAAGATGTGATGAGGTCATAATTGCTGAGTATGAAACCTCAAGAAAACCGCAGGATAACAAAAGGAAACGCCACGTCCAAATGAGACATGTTAGGAGAATTGATTGCCCTTAGAGAAAACCAATCAATTCTCATCTACAATGTACGTGCACATCCCGCTTTTGTACGAGCCTTCTTTCACTGTAATATAACATGTTTATTAGCTGGAGCAGCAGAGATATACCCATTTGTGACGAGGACAAGTGAGTCCTTCAAATTCTCATAACTCACAAAGCAACAGCGCCTGGCTTGCTTGGAAAGAAGGAAAAAATAACTCTCGGTTTTATGTGGGAAATCCAAAGCCTTGAAAAATTCATTGTTCGCTCTGAGTGCAGCAGCCAATATTGAAGCAAAACAAACCTGCAATAACCTTGGATGCTTGTGTATTTATGTGTGTGTTGTCCATGTGTGTGCACTGAGGAGAATACGTAAGGGTGATAATGTTGCTAATCAATGTTGCTCTCTGGTTTCCCTACCAGCAGCGTTCTGGCTCTGGATTCCCGCTGGTGAGAACTCGCCAAGTTCTACAGCGGGATTAACTCTCTGATCTGTGCAGTACGTGCACTTCAGAATATGTACTGATCCATTAGGTGTGAGTCACATCAGGGATTCCTAGGGTTTTCTAGGTTTACTTTCTGAAAGTTTTTCTATCTTTGCATTTGACCAATTTTGTCTTAAAGGGACACGGCATTAGTTGGACAATTACTTCAGTGTTTCAGCTTTGCTGTTTCTGATACTTGTACCATAAATCAGGGGCCCTATTCACAAGGTATTTTATCTTAAAAATAGCAGTCCTAAATGGCACTAATAGCTCATAAACAATAGTTTTCAAGGGTCCACATACATATTTTTTTAGAGCTTACAACTGTATCGCATTGCCATAGCATGTCCCTAATCCATAAAGGACACTAATACTATACACTATGTACTACAAACAGTACTAATTGTCATATCATACTGTTTTAGCAATTAGTACACCGAAATATCAACATACAACCATTTTATACTAACAGGAAATGGCACAATATGTGCAATGTCTGCTGTCAATCAAACTGCAACTTTGCATTGTCACTGCCAGTTAAACTTTTTTAACTGTTTTCCCTAAAATGTAATACTTAAGTTTTTTCTAGAGCTTTGCAGAATATTACTGCACACCGTAGAGAATCTTGAAGGTGTACTCATCGAAATGGTCTGAAAAAACATCTGGTCTCTTCTCATTTTACTCTTTAATCTTTGGAGCCTTTAAATCAGGACCGACCCACTAATCATTTTGAGTTTATCCACTTTTTTCTTCTAAATTAGCTAAGAGATACTTGGGGGAGTCCTATTTTTA